TTGTCACAGAGAGAGGGAAACCAGAACAGATGGCAGAGTAAGGAGACAGCTACCTGATCAGACAGAAGGCCCCCAGAAGAAGTGCAGTGACCTTAGCCATTAGAGATGCAAAATTTAAAGCTGTGGTCACACCTCGCTCCAGTCAGGGTAACTGTCACTCAGAACACAGAGGCAGGCCGATCTCCGAGAGTTCAAGGCCAGCCTGGTCTACAGAGCTATACAGAGAAACCCTGTCTCCAAAAACAACTCCAAAAAACAAAACAAACAAATCAAAGAACATCCAGATATGGTAGCACATACCTCTGGTTCTGGCACTCAGGAGGCAGAAGCAGACAGATCTCTGTGAGTTGGAGGTCAGCCTGCTCTACAGAGTGATTAAAAATAAAATTATATCACTTTGTAGGAAAATGGATAGAACTGGAGGTTGTCATGTTGAATTAAGCCAGACTCAGAAAGACAAATACGTTTCCTCTCACATACAGATCTAGGGTGTGTGTGTGTGTGTGTGTGTGTGTGTGTAACACAGATACACATGTATGAAAATGTTGTATCTTGCACAGTGAATTTAAGAAGGAAAGGTAAATTCCTGGAGCTGAGATGTGGTACTGGGCCTGTAGTTGTCCTCTTGGCCCATGAGGTGACCTTGAGCTTGGGATTGACAGGGCAGAACAATGGGCAATACAGACAGTGGGGTCAGGCCTTTTTCACTGTAGAAACAGGCTCGAAGCTACTTTCAGCGTAGGTGGGTTTGTGTGTTGCTGGGTCTGTTTTTTCTAGCCAGAGTGAGTGCTTCTATGGTCTGGCACAGTGCAGTCTGAGTGATGGGGACCTTGAATACTCTAGTATTAGGTGACACCAGGCAGTGGTGTGCATTACAGAAGGCAGAGGAGAGGTGGCCTGGGGGCTCCATCACGTATGCTGTGTGCAGAGCCATGAATAAACGGGCCAGAGGCCCACAGAGATGCCAGGAAGGCAGGCCGGATGGGCCACAAGGTAGGGAGGTTGTTAGGGACAATAAGGGAGAGCCTCCACTCAGGATGAATGGGAGAAGAGTGAAATTAAAAGCACTCTTGGAGCTGGTTGCAAGGACAAAGAAGAAATGGAAAGTTCCAAAGAGCAGCACATACTGGCTCATACCTGTATTCCCAGTAACTCAGAGGCTATGATTGGTGGGAGAGAGCAATGGGGGGGGGGGGTGGAAAGGGAACTGGGAGAGTGGGACAGGGTTGCTGAGAGTTCCAGGTCACCCTAGGGCACTGGTGACACCCGTCTCAGAGGAAGACTGGAAAAGAATGAGTTCAAGCCTAGCGGGGAGAAATGCCAAGGACAGCAGGCTCTGTGGAGGATGAGGAGAGGCAGTGTGAGTCCTGGGGACAGCGGCTGTACCCGGGGTTCACACTGTGGTTGGAGTGATGAAATGTACAGGGATTTAAAATATGAACTCAAGCCCCGGGGAATGCAGTTCAATGGTGGGGCATGTGCTTAGCATGTGCAAGGGCCTGGGCTCCATCTCCAGGACCACAACGAGAAAAACTAAAGTCCTCATTTGAAAGAAGGGTTTCCATCTTCATTGCGTTCATAGATCCCTTCGATGACAGGTGAGCCTGTCAAAAGCAGCGACTTCCCTTTGCCTTTCATTTCTGGGCATTCTTCTGCCTGTATGCCCGTCTCCATCCCAGAGCCACACACCGATCCTTTCCTTCTGGAGTCTACGGTGAGTTCAGGTCTCTGGGCCTGTTCTGTCACCATGACTCCTCGGGCATGCACCGCACCCTGGACACCCTTCCTACGTGCACCTTAGCCACCTGGCATCTCATGCCCCAGTTGGTTCCCGTTTGTGCACGGGTAGGGTACTCTCCTACCAAGCTGCCATCTCGGGAACATTTACAACGGCACCCACTCCATGCTCAGCTAACAGTTGCTGAGTGAATAGACACTGCAGTCACTAAAGCTGAAGCTAATTGACTAAAAGCAAGCGATACTGAAACTAGTTTAATTTAAGCACTAAAGAGCAGGGGGAGGTTAAGCAGTGGAAGCCAGCGGGGATGGGAAGGAAGGCAGTCCTGGCCTCCTCCTCCTGGATTCTGTAAAGCTGCACTCCCTGCCGATGGAGGATGGCGCTCCCTTTTTTTTTTTTTTTTTGAGTCAGTTTCCTCCCCTTCCAGGCGCCTCCTTTTCTCCCGAGGAATCCAGGACCTCAGAGAACTAGGACCCAGGCTGAGATGGTGGCACTCATGAGACACCTGACCTGGGGTTAGGAGACAGCAGGGACAAGAGGAGAGGGTCTGCTTCACTCTAGGCCTGTCTGTGCTGGCCCAGAAAGGGGCCCAGAGCCAGGCTCACAACTGCTGGGGCTGGCCCGGCAGCTGCAAGAGTGCTTAGGACACGTGTGGTTTCCTCATTCTGTGTCACCGGTGCCGGGCTTCTGCCATGACACAGACGGAAAAGTCACTTTTATTTTGGGCCAGATAGCGTTTTTTCCTTTCAAAGCACATTCCATCCCAGGAGAGCCCCTCAAAGGGCTGCCTCCAGTCCCGGCCTCTGGCAGAGCCCAGCTGCCCACGCTGGCATTTGAGAAGCCCCAGGGCCCGAGTACTACTCTGGGAGTCACCTAAAATGACTGCCTTGTGTGTGGAGAGAGAGATAGAGAGACAGAGCCTGGAGGCTGCAAGTGTGCGTTTTCTTGTGTGTCAGCCGGCCAGAAATCCCTCATCTGGGACACCACACTGAGGAAAAGCTGAGTGCATGGCCTACTTAGGAAGCCTTAATTATGGGCTCTGGGTGGTATTTTCCTGTCATCCAAGAACTTCCAGGGCTGTTGATGGGGACTGATTTATCCCGACATCTGGGCCCCCTTCCTTTGAAACTGTGCTGACACCTCAGATCTGCTCGTACTGTGTTGGGGAATTACAACTGGGTGGGGACAAGAGGGATATTGCTCCCAGGTCCAAGCCTAACTCTGCTGCCCTCAGAGGGGTTTAGAGCCCTGAGCACCTGTGTGGGCTAAGGTGGGGCAGGACACATCCCCTTGGGGCTCTGAGGGCTTGGCAGGATGTTCCAGCCCAGCAGGGCCTCGCCCTCGGTCCATTCTCTTCCCCTCTCTGGAAAGTTCATGCTCCCGCCCGCCCACGTGTGCGGCATGTACGTGCAGAGGCCCCCGGAGGCCCAGGTAAACACATTGTCCTTTTGGAGTCTTTACTCTTCCCAGTTTGTTTGTGAGGAGGTGAGGGCTGTCATTACCGCCCTCTGACTTGTTAGGTTGCCCAGGGGGAGTGGGGGGGGGGGTAACACTTTTTCCTCCTCTAGGAGTCTAATCACTTATCTGGTTACTCCTGACCTGTATACGTTGCCGGGGAGGGAGACACCCTATGCCCACAGAAGCAAGGGCCTTGGAAATTTTCAAAGACCCCGGGCCCGGTCGGGCTCTCTGCCAGCACGGGAGATGGTGTGGCCTGCAGAAACTTCTGGGGAAGGAGGCTCCCTTTCCTTGCCCAGGAGACCCTGCCATTCCCCTTGCGGCGGCCTGACCATGCTCTTCCCTGTTAATGTGATTTTCTGGGTTGTACCTCTTGGGGGTGGGTTCCCCACCATTACTGGGGCCATTCCTCCCTTGCCCTCTGCGGTCATCTACAGGTTCAATTCCGTATCACACCTTTTCATTACATCTTTCTTTCTTTGTGTATTTCTTTGTGTGGGTGTGCTCACGTCATGGTTTAGGTGTGGAGGTCAGAGGACAGCTTGTGGAAACTGGCTTCCTCCTTCCACCGAGTGGGTCTTGGGGGTCAAACTCAGGTTGTCGGGCTTAGCTGCAGACATCTTTACCTGGGGAGCCACCTTGCCTGCCCTCTGTTTTTGTTTATTTGTAGACCAGGCCTGTGCCTCCAAGTGCAGGACTGCAGGTACAGAGAGCCCCCCCCTGCACCCCACTATGCTCCGCACCTCCCTGGGAGGCGTCCTGGGAGTTCTGTAGGGACACCGAGGGCCTTTGGACTTGTGCTCCCAGAGGACAGAGGATGAGGCCTCCACTGGTTACTTTTCACGTTAGGGTGAAGGCCTCCAAGGTCTCGATTCAACATTTGAGAACACCTGTGGCTTTTCCACAGCTGCTCATCTTGGGGCTGTTTACAGCTTCCTTTTTACCTGTGAACTGCTTAGTCATGCTGTTTTGGAGTCGCTTCATTCATTCATTCAATCATTCATTCATTCACTTTCTTCCATGAATATCCTTCCCTAGGCCCTGGAAGGATATGCAGATATGGCCCTTCCTCTACAGTATTTCTAATCTTATTTCTTTTTTATTTTTGAGAGATGGTGTCATTTCTGCAGTCAAGACTGACTTCAGAGTCACAGCAACCCTCCTGCCGCCTCCTCTCAAGTGGTAGGATTACAGAAATGAGCCGGCACAGATTTGTACACTGTTGGGGAGAGGCAGACCAGAAGCAAGTAAACTAACAGATAATACAGAGAAATACTGACAGGGCAGAGACCGAACCTAGGCCTCCCAGGGAGGGTGTGGAGGAAGGGCCAAGGGCCCCCCGCAGCACTGGTCAGCCATGTCTTGTGTTGTTTTTTGAACATGTCCTTAAACGGTCTGACAGGAGAAAACACTGAGGATACAGTTTTTCCCTCTGAAAGAGAGCCAAGGCAGCCCCTGGTGGCCCAGGGGCTCAGCAACCAAACCAGTGTGGCAGCCGTGGGCACCAAAGGACATTAGCCTTTGTGTGGGGAGCAGGGGCTCTGCACCTGTGTCTCCTGAGCAACTGAACCCAGCGGGACAGTCAGGCGCGGCCATCGCATGCAGGCAGCCCATGCCTGTAGGGAGGCCACACGGGAGCCCCAGAAGTCCCCTGAGGCCCTGAAAAGCAGAGCATCTGTGGCTTCCCTTGTGCAGTCAATGCTCCTGCTGCGAGGACGCGGGAAGACTGCTGGGCACTGCCCTGGGCACAAGTGTGAGCCACCCTCTCCTCCCAATCTTAACGCCGCCTCCTTCGTCTCTGCAGATGAGGACATGCGTTTGTGGTGCCCCTCGCTACAAGAGGTCAAGGAGGTGTTCCGCAGCCTGGGAGCCTACAACCCTGCCCTGTATCCGCAGGGGCCCTTCCAGCACAGCCCGAGGTGTGTAGCGCCCCTTCCCCTTCCTGACTTCTGCCTTCTCTCTGCTTTCATCTGACTGCACAATAAGGCAGGAACTACTACACAAGCACCCGTGGCTAGCGACCTGTGAGAACAAGGGTCACTCCACAGACTGTGGCCTTCCCGCCTTAGAGCTCAGGGTATCCGGACAATCAGGGCTGAAGAGTTCTGCCACTTACTCAGACCCCACCCCCTCCCACTGGTGGGTCCCAGACTGCTCAGCCAGACTCCGATCTCTCTCTCTTCAAATCTCTTTGGCCAGTGCTTATAGCACAGACAAACCCAGTTTTCTGTTGTTGTTGGGCTGGGAGAGGATGGTGTGTTTGTTTGGGTGTTTTGAGATAGGCTCTCATACCTTTCAGGCTCTGCTTAGAGATAGGCATTAAACCCAGGGTTTCCTGAATGATAGTCTCAGGCACTATACCAACTGAGCTACACCCCAGACCATTGCCTTAAAGACAGAATCTTGCTATATAGCCCTAACTGACCTAGAATGTTCTATGTATACAAGGCTGGCCTTGAACTCAAGGCTGCTTTCCTGCCTCTGCCTCCTAGCATGCTGGAATTGCAGGTCCACACCAGTACGTCTGCCTTAAAGTGGAAAACCCTTATATATCCTTTAGTCCCAGGAGGCAGAGGCAGGCAGATCTTTATGAGTTCAAGACCAGCCTGATCTACATGAGGAGGTCCAGACCAGACAAAGCTACACAGTAAGACTGTCTCAAAAATACCATTTGTATCTGTAATAAACTTCACTGTCAAAAAAAGAAAAGAAAGGAAAGCTCCCTTTGCCAAGGTCCTCATGCCTGCTAGACAAACTACCAGCTGAGCTATACCCCAGCATTAAGCACTATTTTGCATAGTTTCCACTAAGGTCTATTTTGCATGAGTCCATTTTGTGCCTGTACTGGGCCTGGTGGTGGTGGTGGACAGTGCTGCTAGTTGTGTGAGCACGTCCTTGCCCTCTAGGGACAGAGCCACACAAATCATAGATGACTCCTGTTGGGAGGGTGATGACTAGATGGAGGCGATGAAAGTGTCGTGTGTTAGACTGCTCTCCAGATGATGGCACATCCCAACTTCCTTGAAGAGTCTGAGATGTCCCCCACCCTGCGTCTGGCAGCAGCCCCTCCACCAGGCAGAGCTGGGACCCTTTCTTTAGCTGCCGGATGTTTCTCTGCAGGGAAAGCAGGAGCTTTCTTAAGAACCTGTTCCACGACTGTGTTTAGTAATTGTCTGCCAAACCCAGCCACACTTGGCTCTGCTATAAATACCCCACGCATGTGCCAGCCTGCCACGCTCCTGCCCCTTTCCCTTCTGGAGCCCAGCAGCGCTCTGTGTCGTGTAGGGTGTGATAAGCCTCTTGCTGCTTCCTAACAGCCCCTGTTGTGTCTTGGGTGAGTGGGGGGGTGGGATTTGAATTACTCAGAAAAAGCAAAGCATGCCAGAGGAAGTGCCTCCTGGTGAGGGGAGCGGTAAGCCACACACAGGCTTTGGTGAGTCCCCAGAGTCCACCCGGGAGGTGGGAAATACACTGGAGGCCTTCCCTGCCAGGTTATATGCAGCATTGCTCTTCCCAGAGGCATCCAAACTGTGGCCTTTACACATGGCTCCAGTCTTCCATGCACAGCCATTAGCACAGACTCCAGCTTGACCAGGTGCCCTGAAGCCCCAAATTGGAAGAGGGAAGTCCTTGTGCCACGTGGTCTCACTCCTAGGCCTGCCTCTCGGGCTCCCCGCCCCCGACTCCTTTAATGGGCCCTGGACCTTGTCCAGGGAGGATTCAGAGTGGGCCTGGAGGCCCGCCCCATCAGTGGCCACGAGGACAATTTCTTCCTCGTGGCTTCTAAGAGCAGCCTGGGGACCACGTGCCAAGCCCCAGAGACTGGAGAGATTTTTCTACATGCATTCATTCTCCTTCGTGCATCTTTCCTGGCGCAGGTGGGTGTGAAGATAGGTGCCCAGGGCGGTTTCTTGGGTTGCTGTAAAGTGGCTGCTACACTTGAGGATGCTCCAGATATCATCATGGAGCTGAAAGACAACTCCGGCAGAGTTCCGGAAGCACCCAGATACTCCAGCATTCTTTCACCAGGGGCACACATCCTGAGGAGTAGACAAGAGAAATGGGGCCACCTTTGTCCCATGGCCCTGTTTGTCCTTGGTCTTTGCCGCTCTTAGATGCTGGTGTTGTGCCATTTGTTCATACTGGGTTTTTCTCATCTTCTAGACTTGTTACTACCTAGGCTCCCTGTGAGCCACCTCTGGTGACACCCCCAGAGTCTCATGACAGCTTGGGCTGAAACGCCTCTGTACACAGCTGCACAGTTGGCCCTTTCTCTAGTTACTGTGAGAAAGCCGTGTCTTGTTCCATTTGTTCCTGGCCTCGGATTCCTGCCACCATCTCTGTTCTGAAATGTGCATCACGATTTCCTAAGAGGGATGGACAGGTGACTCTGTTGGTCAAGCATGAGGACCTGAGTTTGGATTCCCAGAGCCCATGGGAAAGTGAGGTACAGCTCTGGGAGACAGGGACAGAGGACCCTGGAAGCTCGCTGGCCCTCCAGTCCAGCCAAAGCTGTGAGATACAGGTTCTCACATCTTGAGAGAGGCTTTGCTGTGAAAAGCTAAGGTTCCTGGCCAGAAAGCAGGGTGGACAGCAATGAGAGGTGGGTATTGACTGTCTCCCAATGCATTCACACAAGTGCCTGTCTCAAAAAACAAAACAAACAAACAAAAAAAAAAATACCATACAGGATCCAGATGCCCTGTGTGTTTCTCATCCTTATGTGGCTTATTCCTTTTATATTCCTTCACTCTTGCTTGTATACAGGGTCTCATGTAACTCAGATGTAACTCAGATGGGCCTCAAATGCACTATGTAGTAGAGGCCGGCCTTGAATCCCAAAGCCTCCCATCTCTGTTTCTACCTCCTAAGTCCTGAGGCTACAGGCATGAACCACCACGTCTAGCTTTTTATTATGTCTTTTAAACCCTTCAAGGAAAGCAAACTGTTGATGTACAGGGAGAGGTCAGTTGATACACCCCTTGTAAGATCACTTTATGAGTCTCAAACAATGTGGCTGAGACTCAGACTGCAGGTCGTTAAGGCAGGCAGGGAGCATCAGAGATGTCTAGGGTAGAAGGTGACTAGGGAGCTGTCAGCTCCCTCCCAAGCTGCTGAGTCCAGGCTGGAAGATTGGTTACTGATGGGCCCTGAATCCTTGGTGCTCCTCGGCCTCTTACTAAGTGAAGTCATGGGAACTAGCCAATGCTGCATCTAGAAGAGCAGTCACAGGGTACCTGAAGCCCTGGGTTCATTACCCAGCACTGCCAAATATGTAAATAAATCACACTTACAATAGCCATTATAGGCGCCGGTGATGAGTAAAGGGCCCTTTTGATTCCGCTGTCCAGAAAGAGAAGGGCGGAAGTGTCTGCCACTCACAAGGGAAAGAGGCTTTATTTAAGAAGTCCGGCATACCTTCCCCAGGAGGAGAGGGCTGTGTCACGGCCACACTTCGTTTCCTCAGTCAGTTCTAAAATGACATATGGCTAGCTAACACGTTCTTTGCCCCTTCTCCCTTTGCCAGCATCAAGTTGTGTGAAAGCCGGTTTTCTCTGTGGCATCCCATGGCTGCCCGGCTCTTTGTGAACATCTGAAAACATGCCCACCCATGCTTGCATCCGGTGCCTGCTCTTAGGCTGGTACAAACCTAGACACCCACTCACATACTGGCGCAGACCCAGTATACACCCAGATGTGCAAACCCTAGCCTCACCCATCCTCTGGTCCTAATAGGCGACAGATCTCTTTCCCTCTGTGAAGCTCCAGGGCCAAGAAGTGCAGAAAAGGGAAACTTCGTGAAGCTGCATGTGGTGCCTGACATTGTCCAGCACCAGAGCAACTGTGTGGTCCTCAGCGCCCACTGCTTTCTGGGAGTCTAAGCAGGCTCCTAAGAGGGAGACGGCAGGGCAGGATCAGCAGCAACAGTACTGTGCTGGTAGAGTGTGCAGCAGAGGGAGCTTTACCTGAGACCCCTTAACAGGCTGAAGTCGCTAACTGCCTTTGGTCTGAAAGAATAGTTTAGTAATCGAGGAAGTTTGCAGAGCCGTCCATTCATGGCTGTACCATCTTTGCTAGGAGCAGCTCCAGCCTGACCGTGTGTGACTCTGGTCTTCAGGGTAGGGATTTCTTCATCCACCCCAGCCACCAGCCTCACCTGCTGCTTGAGTAGATCTGCTCCATCACTGAAGGACTGGCCACACGTGGCCTGTTCATAGATAACTTGTTACAGTCTTTGGTGGGTGTGCAGAGAGTACCAATGTTCTGAGTTTTGTCTCACTTGCTGAGCCCCCTTGTGAGTTACCATGTGGTTCTCTTAGTGGGTAGCAACCATTGAACAGGTTAAGATCATTAGGGGTCAGAGGTAGGACTTCCCGCTTTGTGGAGGTCCCAGGATGCTGCAGCCCATACCCACACCAAGTCAGGCTGGCCTGTGGACTGTCAGGAGGAGCGGTGGGTTTCCATTTCAGGACCAGGTGTGAAGGCTACACTCCTGTTGAGAAGCCCCTTGTGGCAAATAACCAGGCACTTCCCAGTCCAGCCTTGCGTGGGTGACCTGCAGAAGCGCCCCCAGCTTGCTGCCCCTGGACCCTTGGCTCTCAGAATCTCAGGGGCATAATAAATGCGTTTTCTGTGTTTGTTTGTTTGTTGTTTTTGAGACAGAGTTTCTCTGTGTAGCCCTGACTGTTCTGGACCTCACTATTTAGACCAGGCTGGCCTTGATCTCAGAGATCCACCTGCCTCTGCCTTCAAGTGCTGGGGTTAAAGGCGAGCGCCGCCACCACCCAGCCATAATAAATGTTTTAAGCGTCTACTTGGGGAAGGGGACGGCCTGTGTGTCTTACATCAACAGTGTTCTCTGCCTCTTTCTCCGTGTTCATCTCTTCTGTTACTTCCTGTCACGTATAATGATACTGATTCTGTTTTATGTCAGAGTGGCTGAGAGTGAGGCCAGCCTGAGCTGGTGGGAACCACAGGATTCTCCCCAGGGAATGACCTTGGCCATTAAGCTGAGCTACATCTACAAGGTGAGCAAAACTTTCCTGTCCTGCATCTCCCCCAAGTGTCCCCCAGACCTACTCAGCAGTTTAGTTGGGTAGCATCACCAGGTACCTACAGTGAACCAGCTCAGCACCACTATAGGCTCAGTGGTGACCCTGGTGCCCATGCTACAGAAAGCCTGTGGTCTACTTGTAACTGCCAGCATGGCCAAAGGGTTCCCAGAACAGGTACCCCACAGGTCACCAGGGACCTGGCCCCGCAGTCCCTTCCCTCACTGTGTCCCCTTGGCCTTTCCCTCATTCCATGTCTCCCTGGCCCATCCTTGGCTCTCTTCCCCTCCAGTTCCTGATCCTGTGCTTCCTAGTCCAGCCAAGGTCCTACCCTGATGCCAGCATCTTGAGCCTGATGGAGCTGCTGTGTCGTGCGGGCCTGGATGTGGGGCTGCGCCTATTCCCTAAGACTGACCTCCAGCAACTCCTTCTCCTACTGCTGGAAAACATCCAAGAGTGGCCGGGAAAGGTAACACAGCCTGGGCTCTGCCACTGGGGGCTGCCCTGCCCTTAGCGTACCCTAGAAGGGGAAAGCATCATTTGCAACTTCTTCAGCGGTCCCCTTTGCTCCCCCAAACACTCTGGGTAGCAGGGCAGGGGTGAGGACAGCTTCCTCCAGCATCCCACCTGTCCCCACAGCTCCAGCCACTGTGCTGCGCCCTCAGCTGGGTTTCGGACCACCACCACAACCTGTTGGCCCTCGTGCAGTTCTTTCTGGACGTGACTCCTCGGGGCAGGTGGGTACTTCTCAACCTTTCTGCCTCCTCCCCCGATGCTCATCCCCATGGGGTTCTTCCAGGACCTAGAATCTTCCCACCAGTCCCAATAAACAAACGTCTGCCTCGTTTCCAAACTCTCAGAGGAAGAACTAAAAATAGAATTCACTAATGAATGAGTCCTTTACAAATGAAAAAAGCCTAATTTTCTTAACATGATCTTATTAGCAAAACACTGTCTTATGCAATTAGCCTCTGCCTGCAGTGCCTCCTCCTCCTTGGGACTCCCTCCCTGCCTTTGCTTGCTAGTTTTTTGGGGGTTTTTTTGGTTTTTTGTTTTTGTCACTCAGACAATCAGCTGCTCGCCCACCACCAGCTCCTCTCCCCGCCACCCACCCTACACCTAATCCATCGCCATTTTATTTTCCGCTCAGCATTTCTCTGCCAGAAATTATCTTACTGTTTATTTCCCTTTTTGGACTCCCTCTTCCCTCCAAGTCACCCTCCAGAACAGGTGCCTTGCCAGGATCACTGCCTTTTATCACCCCCAATCTCAGCCCGTGCCTGGCAGACTGTTGGTGTTTTGTAAAATTCTTTTGGGATGATGAACGAAGTGAACAAACAGACTCAGCCCAGGAGATAGGACCTATTGGCTGGACTTGGCCTTGTCTCTTCTCTTCACATTCCTTCCCCTGCCCCCTGCTCACGGCCACAAGGAGTGCCCTGCGCAGACCCTACCCTTCCTTCCTGCCCCCTGGCCTCAACAGGCTTGACAGTTGTCCTTTGGGATCGTTCCCCTGTGACCTCCCAAGAGCCAATCCTTTGGGGCTTGAGCCCACCGCGCATCCCAGTGCCCATGGGGCCAGCGTAGTTGGACTGATTTGGTGAGTCAGTCATGGCCACACTGGGTTCAGCATCAGGCTCTACTGACAGGGAAGCTCTGTCCATACCCCAGGAGGCACCTTGTTCACTCAGCCCAGACCCCTGGATTTTGGCCATCCCCCAGCACATCTGCTCCAGAGAACAGAATGGAGATGGCCATCCCAGGGGCTTCCCCCTTCATGCTTGCTGCCTTCAGAATTCTGAACCCTTAGTTTTGGTTGCATGTTTGTATCAACTTGATGACAGGCATTGCTGTCTGGGTCATTTTAAAGCAATCGAGTCCTGCCCTGCCCCGCCCCGCCCCACCCCCATTTGATTTTCCCATAAAACCTGGAAGGAAACACAGAGGCAGCTTTAGCTGTTCCTCTCAGCCTGACTGACAGCAGCAAAAAACAGGTGGACCAGTGCTAATACTGCTAAGCAGTTATGAAAGTGAATGCCCGACATACACTCATTAACACTGTATATTTTCCAGTTCAGTTTTAAGTTATAGTCAATCTAATGAGTAGAAAATGCCATCCCATGTTTTTAATGTTCACCTCCCTGATCACCAATGAAACTAAGCAGCCTTTCAGCTCTGTGAATTACCTTCTGCTATTCGTAATTTATCCTATTAACTATATTGATTCACATGGTACTTATCATATTTGTTACAGTGTATTTTCTCCTAAGGTTATAAATTGCCCCTTTTTAAAATTTTAATGTATTAAAATTTAGCTTTACTGGGCAGTGGTGGTGCACTCCTTTAGTCCCAGGACTTAGGAGGCAGAGGCAAGCAGATCTCTGTGAGTTCAAAGCCAGCCTGGACGACAAAGCGAGGTCCAGGACAGGCTCCTAAGCTACACAGAGGGACTCTGTCTTGAAAAACAAAAACAGAAACAAACAAGCAAATGTAGTTTTATTATATGTGTATATGTTTTTGCCTGCGAGTGTGTTTATGCCTGCCCAAGGGGGGCAGAAGAAGGTGCTGGATCCCGTGAGCTGGAGTTACAGACAGTTGCTGAGCTGTCATTTGAGTGCTGGGAATCAAATCCAAGCCCTCTGCAAGAACAGCGAGTGTTCTTAATCTCTGAGCCATCTCTCCAGCCCTGTTTTTAATTTTTGTTACATTTGTTTATTTTATGTATCTGTGTAAATTACATGTGTGCCACAGCATGTGTGTCAAAATCAGAAGACAGCTTATGGGAGGTATCTCTCTCTTTTCTCTGTGTAAGACCTAGGGATCAAATTCAGGTCATCAGGCTCAGTGGCAAGCACCTTTACTCAGTAGTTATCTTTCTGGGCCATTTTAAAAATTTTGTGGTTGCTATCATTTTGTTATTTGAGACAAGGCCTTGCAGTGTAACCCAGACTAGCCTAGAACCTGGCTCAGCCTCCTGAGTGCTAGCTGACATGGCGGGTGTAGACCACCATGCCCAGCCTATAAGTAAGTGTGTGTATGTGTGTGTATGTGTGTGTGTGTGTTTATCTGTGGTTTCTTTCAGTGAACTGGCTTTCGCTTTCATTGTTCCAGTAATTGGACTGGTCCATTTATAGGGACCAACTCTAAGACACGACTGTGCTCAGAGCAAGTGTCCTACTGCTCAGCTGAGCTTTCTGTTCCTCAAGAGCAGAATTTTAGGACAGACTTAGATTTGCAGGAAAGTGGTGTGGACAGTACAGAACACTGCCTGGGACTTCTGGATGATGTAATCTTTGCATCTTGAATAGGGAAACCTAAAACCACACACACACACACACACATACACACACACACACACACATACACACACACACACACATAGAAGAGCTATTTTCAGTCAGGCAGTGGTGGCTCACACCTTTAAACCTTTAATCCCAGCACTCCAGAGGCTGAGGCAGAGGCAGGCAGATCTCTGTGAGTTTGAGGCCAGCCTGGTTTACAGGACAGCCACGGTTACACAGAGAAACCATGTCTTGGAAAACCAAAAAAAAAAAAAAAGGAAGAAAGAATTGTTTTCTTCCAGTACTGACTATAATCAGTTCCTTTCTTGTACTTTGTTCCCAGTATCTCTTAATTCCACCTAGAATCTACTTTTCCTATTATAAGACAGATCTAACTGAAATTCCCCCACTCCCATGCCTGAAAAGAGTATGATGCAATGCCAGTTTTTATATTAATAACCCATCATTTCTCGATAGACTTGAAGGTATTGTGCTCATTTTCCAGCCATGGCTTAAGCACTGCTCTGGGGAATCAGCATCTCGAATCTGCATCTTTGTACCTATGACAGGTGCCTCTGGAATGACCGTGGGTACAGTGGAGCATCCCGCACTTGCATTTCACACAGATGTGTCAGCAGAACGCCCCAGGCCACAGTTTTTGTTGGGGAAGAAGGTTCCTCATTTGGATGAGTGTTATTTATTTAGGTTAGCTGGCCATGGTGACAGACCCCTGCAATCCCAGCTCTCAAGAGGCTAAGGCAAGATGATCTTGAGTTTAGGGTAAACCCAGCCTGTATAGGGCGATCTTGCCCACCCTGACACACACACACACACACACACACACACACACACACACACACACACACACCAAAAAGGCAGGCATGGTGATCTATAATCTGAGTACTGGAGAGGTTGAGACAGAGGACTGCTGGAATGGAAAGGTAGCCAATCCAAACTACAGTGAGAGACTGTGGGAGAGGAGGAGAGAGGGGAGGCCTACAGGCCAGGCTGATGGGGGCACTTTCCCAACTGAGGTTCCTCTTCCCAGGTGATGCTAGCCTGTGTCAGGTCGACACTCTCTGACTGAATCTGGAGCTTGACAGTTGGGCCCTCCTTCCTCTGTCTCCGCCTCCCAGAGCGGCCAGCTCCGATTTTTACTTGGGTGCTGGGCATCCAAACTCAGGTTCTCATGATTACACAGCAAGACTTCACCTGCTGAACCATCCCTTTATTCAGCCTCCCTCCCCCCTCCTCTTTCTCTCCAGAGTTGATCTCTGGACTTCTTGTGTATGTGTGGGTGCATGTGTAGACACACAATGATAGTAATAATTTTTTTTTTTGAGATATGGTTTCTATGTATTGCTTTTAAAGCCTGTCCTGGAACTTGCTCAGTAGACCAGGCTGGCCTCGAACTCACAGAGATCCACCTGCCTCTTCCTCCCGAGTGCTGGGATTAAAGGCCTGTGTCTCCAACTCCCAGTGTAATATTTTTTTTTTAAAGAATTTTCTTTTCTTTTTTGGTTGTTTTGCTTGTTTGTTTTTGTTTTTTGTTTTTGTTTTTTAGCTTTGAGCCTGTCCTGGCTCTCTTGAAACTAGCTCTGTAGACCAGGCTGGCCTCGAACTCACAGAGATCCGCCTGCCTTTGGCTCCAGAGTGTCGGGATTAAAGGCATGTGCCACAGCGGTCTTTCACTTATTTTCTAAGAGCATTCAAGTAATACCAAGGGTGGAAGGTGCCAAGGAGTGAGTGGACAGGAATAGGTGTCCCTGACACATGCCACCCGCCTGCCATCGCTAGCCTCAGTGCCCATGTGTGCACAGGCTCCCTGCAGGCTCCTTTCGCTTCGAGGTATGTTTTGGCAGTCCTTCCAAATTGCCTCATAAAGAGCTTCTAATTCTCTCTCACATCTTGCTGTGAGAGATGCAGCGATGGTGGTCACACGGGAGCTTGTTGGCTGCCTGGCTCTGCCCTTGTTGGGGGCAGCCCCACTGGGCTCAGTGCCCAGACTGACCCCAGGAAGAAGGATTGTTGTGCAAGGAGCCGTCACACTCTGAATCTGCTTGACTGGTGAAGTACAAAGCAGGAGCTCCCAGGGAGTCCACGCCCGTGGATGTGTGTACTCCTGCCTTGACCAAGACTTCAGGGGATGCACCAGGGTGTGCCGAACCGCCTGCCTTAACCATGAGAAACGAAAACAAACTGTAAAGCAAGCCACCCGAAGCGCGGCCGTGGGAAGAGGTCTTCTTGAAGGGATTCAGCATGGGGAAGGTGACCCCGCTGGGGTGACCCACAGAGCTGTTGGAAAGAAGAGCATGCTGTTCTGCCTTCAGCTAGTGACTCTAGCGTGTGCTCATGTGTGGAACTAACCCCTGCTGCCACCGGAAGGAGCCCCTTCAGGAAGGTGAAGGAGCCCATGGCTGTGACTCTCTGCTGAATACTAGTGTCCCAGGCTCCAG